CAACTTGCATTTTTTTTTCCTATTTTTATGAGCATTTACTATTGTATTCCTCAGCATCCCTCAACTCCCACCCTGATGTTTACATGCCAAGTAGAGCATTTGTACAAGCAAAACAAGGTCATGCATTTATATTTTTCCAGTTAAACGAAAAGTAATGCGAGGGACGCAAGTCTTTCCAGGATGTGAAGTCTCAAGTTTTCTCTCCAGCAGCATCTTCACTTTGAGAGTAAGAAACAAAGGCAACCATACTGCAACTAATGTCTAGAGCAGAAGTGCCAACTACAAAGACTGTTGCATTTAGCAGAGTGAATAGATGTTTCTGGAGCACTGGTTGACATTACTACAGTTCTGAAAACAGACTTACAGGATACTCTACAGAGCTTTCATTGCAAGCACAGAGGGCTGGTAAAGCTTTCTTCTATGGGAGAAACCAGAAGTATAAAGTTTTATTTAAGGGCAGTATTTGTCTATATAAGTCAAAGGAATCGAAGCTGTCAAATTAAGATTGTACAGGAAGTCCCGCAGCATTGTTTTCTGTAGTTTTTTCCCAATACTGACATTAATAATGTCAACCCCTGTCTTCTTACAAGGTAACAACTTCTGTAGCATCCAGATATGTTAAGTGACCTGACTGAAGCCTGACCTGGTGCACATCTGTAACCTGCTGATGGGCTGAGTCATTGAAGAACCGTCTTCATATACATTGCCGTGAATCAGGTGTTAAATTAAAACTTACTCAAAAGCTGGTACATAAGATGATATTGAAGTGGATGGACAGCCATAAGACAGACCAACCTGCAGGTTATCCATTCGTTTTGCTCAGCAGTTTAGCATGGTTGCTTTAAAACCGACACACACAAAGATGGAGAACAACCTAGAAAAACTCTGAATGGCACATGTGATCGAACCTCCAGAGCAGTCACTTCCATTATACCAGAGCACCTCAGCACTCAATATTCCAAATTACTTCTGTCTGAACAGAACGGACACCTATCTTCTGCCCTTTACTTAGCTTCTAGTTAGGCTAATAGAAAAGGCTGTGAAGGAAAAAGGAAAATAAAGAGTAGGCAAGAAGCGTTAAGTCTCAAAAGCAAGCTACGCAACATGGGGTCACTTCAGTTTTAACTTTCTAATGGGCAAAGCCATTTATCAAAGACAGTAACCTAAGGTATTCTTGAAGGACTCCCAAGTTGAGTTAGGCAAGAAAGTTACCAAATAAAAAGGGAAAGACCTCCTACCACAATTGTAACTAGACACATAACCATCCAAAACCTGAGTCTGAGGTGGTTTGCCTTCAGATGAAATAACAATGATGAAAAATTGATAACAAAAATGGATGCAGTGCTTGAAGGAATGCTGGGACAGATGCAACTTTCAATCCCAGGACAGCTAACCTTCTTGTGCTCGTGTAAGGGCAGAACTGAACTAAAGCACAAAAAGCAGATATTAGATAATGTTTTGACTAGCACAGCAGAACAGGTTCATGTATGAGGTCTACATTTTCTCCAATTACAGTTCAACGAGCTATTGGGATCTTCTGCTCCCCCCCAGCCCGATTTCCCATCTGCCATATTGCACGTGCAGTTGCTATTAAACAAACACAGCATTTCAATTTGTGCCTCTCTATAAAAAAAGGAATTAATCCTTCTTGTTTTTCTTAAACACCTTTAAACATACCTTCATTTGTGAATTTTTTTCCCCTTAGGTAAAAGAAATTAATAATATCATGAAAACAAATACCAGAATGTCTTATTTGTCCACACAAGATTCTACCTTGTCCAATATGAAATACATATATATCCATCACTATGAAACCACGGAAACAAAGGTAGTGACCAAAGCTGACCCTCCACTCGCTCTTGGCCGTAGAAGGACCAGGTGCTTAGCTCAATTAAGGCTTACAGTAATAAACACACAGCAGAAAATTAGGTCCAAGACTGTTAACTATCAGTGAGCTCTCTACCCAAACCTAAGCCTGGAAGAGCATCTTAGCCATGGAAAGTAACATTCTTTTGCATCTCAAGAAGATAAGAAAGAGAACACTGGCACTGCAGGGAAATGAGCTGCTAGGAAGAAAGTCTGGCATAAACTGGAGATGTTTAAGTTTCTATTAAATAATATAATGCTTCAAATTGAAACCAAGATGCAGGCCAGCTAAAAACAATTTGATTTTTCAAACAGAAAAGCCACTTAGCTTTTCATTTACATGAGCATGTTTGCAGCAAGAACCATCTTTGCATCTGTACTCCCAAAAAGACAACACTTTTCTTTAGGATAGCGA